TGTGTTTAAGTGGATTCAAAAGCAATGGTGCAGAAATAGCTATGGAAAAACATTAATTAAACAAACGGATTGGGTATAAAATAATGTAAGAGTATTTGAATGCAAAAATTCATTTGCAAACAGACAATTTGATACGAAATAAGAAAAATAACTTTTGCTGAAGAAAGAAAAAGAATTTTTTTTTTGCATTTCAAATTGAAAACGTTGGCTTGAGAAAAGATAATGATGAGGAACGGTGATCGATCGCAGAAAAACGACCTTAACTTTAGTGATGAAATCCCTGTAACATCACCTAATTTGTTTGTGGCCCACCTGGGTTCAAAATTTAATGGTACTCTGAACATGTTCTTCGGGGACATGTGAGATATAAGATAGTGGAATAAAACAAAAAGTAATGTTTTCTTTCCGTAATGTTTCCCGCATAGCGGTCATGTAATTGTTCTTCTGTTCTGATTGTAACCTTTCTTATCAATGAAAAAAAGACAATTTCTTTTTATACTTATACATGTATCTGTATAAATTATTCGTACAAAATGGATGTAATCACATAAAATATTGTTATATAGGTCTGTGCATTTCATTGACTGAAGAGCCTAAGTCTTAAGAACTCTTTCATATAGATGGATTTAAATACAGTTCAAACTAGTATTGTGGTTGAGTCGATTAATTTTTCATAAGAAAAATATTCAATGGTAACTTCAACTACATAAATAAGGGAAGTTGATGAAAACAGCTGAAGTCATCCTGTTCCTCATACATGAGGTTGTTAGTTGGCAATTACATGTAATATCAATAGTCAGTTAAACATAAAAATCAGTATGAGGAGATTTGGCAGATTGTAGTGTTATTTATTTTGAGTTCACGGGATGTATCGAGACAACATTGAATGGAAATTACTATTTCAAATTTATTAAGCGTTTAAAATGTGTCTAAAATATATAAATGTCTAATTGGTAGCCACAGTAAGAGACCTCTTCTGAGAATTTCAACTGACTGTTATAAGACCTGCATGAAAGTTTCCTAAGATATGCCAATAGATGCATTCATGTTAAATTTCTTTAAAAGAAGAGATATCTTAGAGCTATCTTAAGATACGCTTTAAGGTGTAAAACAAAAGCATTGTAGCAATATCGTAAGATCTATGTCGCAAATTCTATCGTAAGTATTTTTAAATTTTTTTTTTTTTTTGGTAAAACAAATAGTACTTATAATTCGTTTATTCAGTTCCAACATTTTATGTGAAAAGTCATAAAGGCGATTAATCTTATCTCATGTCTTAAAGATTCTTGAGTCGATTTTTTAGGGATTGGGAACCACCACCACCACCACCTCACCAAACCTATAGATAAGAAACAATGGGTCCACACATATCTACTTGTACTTATTAAAAGGTTTCACACATTTCATATACATTAATACATTGCATTATTTCATAGATTTCCATCACAATTTTAAGCAGTGTAGTCTTTTCCTCATCAGTCGCCCTCGTGGCGAGTGTTTAGAGCGTTCTCTCTAGAGTTGTAGCGTAAGGAGTTGATCCTTATTTGCGGGTTCGAATCTCACTTTGGGACGTGGAGACCGATCCTTCGGATGAGACTGTATAAATCGAGGTACAGTGTCCCAGAAGGGGGGCACGAAAAAGATCCCTCACTGCTCAAAAGCCTTAAGTACCAAGTACAGGTCTAAATTTACAGCCCTCCACCGGCAAATGGTGGCATCTCGATATGAGTGAAAAATATTCGAAGGGACGTTAAAGAAAGAAACAAACATAACAGAAACTAATCCTCTCCAAATAAAACATATAAAGCTTTAGTGTAACAGAGATTTATGTCTGCAATCTTGCAAAAATTAATTATTATCTTAAAAATGCTAAACTGCATAGATTTTTGTATTTGTAGAGAGCTTTGTTACTGGACATATGCAAAGACGGGGAGGGTAAATTCTCACCTGCATCCACGTACGTTTATGAACCTTTCTTTAGATATTTTTTTAACGTGTCTTCTTTATTATAATAACCGGCTAATACCTACTTATGTAACAGGTTGAATATTACTACCTGTACTTATAAAATAATTTTTTGCAATGTTGTAACAGATAAAACGAATTATAAGAGGAGGTGTCAAATTCCAATAGGTCGGAGAATACGGGGGAGAGGTGGGGGTAACTCATATCCATCAAAATCCTACACTTCCTCCTCCATTTAATTCCCCCGTATACGTAGAAGAATGAACAAATAATAACCGGTATTTTATGGTTTTCAAACGGGTATATCTAAACCTACTTCAAAGCATTTTTGAAAATGATAGTTGTTTAATATATCAGTAAATGAATAAATTATAATTTATAATTTTCTCCATTTAAATTTGTTATATATATATATATATATATATATATATATATATATATATATATATATATATATATATATATATATATATATGCCAATGTGAAAATCAAGTATCATTTTAATCACCGGCTTCTGGAAATCAGTAGTAATTGAAAATGCTCACATAAATGTCAATAAATTACAAGTAATGAGTATTTTATCATATCATTTCTTCAAAGTTAATCATTAAAGTTAGTCATTGTATATAGACTTTATATCTTATATATTTTCAAAATACGTGTATATACACCAGGAATGGGGTCAATTACATAGGAAAGTTATAAATTAAATACAATTACTTTCCCAAAACCTTCAATTAAATCACCATTACCATAACAAGAATTTTGAAATGTAATTAATTAAATAACAATTACTTCGGATATGTAATTAATTAAATTACAAATTACATTAAGAAAAAACATAAAGATAACAATGATAAATAGTCATGAACGTTCATTTTAATTCATATAGATTCAGTTCCTTTTTTTTTTTTTTTTACATGAAGTAAACATTGTTTAGATGTTAATGAAATTTTGAAATATTGTGTCCCCTAACCTACATCTATCAGGTTTAAAGATTTTTCTATCACAATGAAGACATTTTACACTGGGGCATTGTAACAGGAATACATACGGTACATAATGACTAATAGCAAGTTCCTGGCTTAATTGACCCTTTTTGGTACAGGGTCCTGTACCCTTTTAATTGTGAATCTTTAATCCAAAACGTGGCCAAATTGGGAAATGTTGTTGATTTTTATTTATTTGTTGATCGAAGAGTTAAATAGTGGACTTGTTCCCTATATATAGATGATATATATCTTTAAAAATGATTAAACTTTCAAAACTTGTTATTTCTATAAATAAACAGCATCAAAAAAAATTAATTTGGTCATCATTAGGGAATCAGTTACCTGAATTTTGGAGGAAAAAGAGAGCCAATTTTCAACCAGGACACGGTCCTTTTACAGGACCTGGATGCTGTTTTACCTTAATAAATGTGTCCCTTCAAAAACTTTCTGCGATATTTATGCAAAACAATGGATGCATTTTGCATTGCTTCCTGCTTATTCATCATCCTAAGCAATATATCTCAAAATGCTAGTACATTGATTTTGACATATTGTGTGTCAAACTACTGTCTTCCCACAAATTTTTAATAAATTATAAATATTGGTGTTATAACACCAAATTATACATTAAAAAAAAAAAGATTTGTGGGAAGACATAGTCAATGTGTGTGTTCAAAAAAGTCAAAATGAGTGTAAAATCTCTATTTAAGTTCCGTGTCAATATGTACATGACCCTAGTGCACTAATAAGTACCTGTTAATCACTTTTAACACAAGCTGTAGGTATGGCAAACAAAGGATTAGAAGCCATTGGACTAGATAATCTAAGTTTCAATTCATAAACAACTTAATCGAAATTATTAATTTTATTTCTACATAACAAAGAAAGAGATAAATATGATCAAAAATTTGGAAGAAAATGCATTTTAAAGAGGAAGCAGCAATGCACGAAATAAAAGAAATATATAATTTAAAAAAAAAAAAATTATAGAACATTTTTTAAAATATTCAGTTATGTTTTTTTGCATAGAGTTTATAGGACTTGAAGGGGTGGGAGTGGGGGCTATTTCTCATGTATTAAACACTAGTGTAATTGAATGTAATTGAAAAGTAATTGTGAACTACATGCTTTTCTCGAAAGTAATTAATTGAATTACAATTACATGTAATTGAAAATTGGACCAATTGCACATTACTTTCAATTACATCAAAATTCGTAATTAATTACTGTCAATTACCATTACACATTATCATTACCCCATCCCTGATATAAACCTTAATTATGCATTTTTAATTGGCAATTGATCAACAAATATATTTTAGAATAAAATAACTATTCTTATCCGCTTCAATAAAAATACATGTTTTTAATTTTTACATTTGTGGTATTTAAGTTCTTCTATCAACTTCAATTGATATAAAATATATAAAGTTAAATGTACTTCCATTGTCATATAGTGCTAAAAAATATTGTTGTGTAAAGCAGAATAAGCCGAAATTAGATATATCGAAAAATTTATTTCTTGGTAATTTTTTTGGTGCATTAATGTCTACACATGTACTTTTGCCAAGACAATTTGTAAGACTTCAAAGAACACTAAATCAAACAAGGAGTCTTTTAATGAAAAATATTGCACGAAAAATTCAATTTAAAGCTTCATTTAGACTATCTAATTAAATAACAATATCAAGAGTATGTGTTTTTGGCTGAGGAGAGTATATCCTTAATAGCAATATCAGGATACTTCCTTTAGTCAAAGTAATATTCAAGATGCCCAATCACAAGATATGAAAATGTTAAACAACAATCAAGCAACCAAACAATGCAGAGTAGAACAATAAAAGCTATAAAAAGCTACAAAAATCCAGTATCTGAGAAATACCAGAAGAAACAAACCAAAGCCTGTTTCACAATACATGGAAAATCTCATATTCACCAAGAACTATAGATTTATATTCATCATAAATTAATTTTACATTGAAACGTTGAGCTTAGTTTGATTTTGCGCAATTTTTATAAGAGGTTCCATCTGGCAGTGAATATTTATGTATAATTTTCTGTCTTCTGGAGATATTTGTACACAGTGACAGTAGAACTATCCTCACTCCCGACTATTAATGTGTGCTTCTCATCAAAACATAGAGCGCGGGGTTTGTATGGGCATTGATCTGACGTGAGTAGAAGCGACAGGAACTGGCCATCCATGTCCAGCTGGTGGACACTGGAGCAATTTCTGCCAAACAAGGGACAGTAACCGTTACAAACCAAGATATGTCCCAGAAAGTCTGTACAGATTCCATACGGACGGAATCCGGACTGAGACCGGTGACCAGAATAAGAGAAGCGGTATTGTCCAGAACTGGTCACAACCACCACTCTATGAGCGGTATAGTCTGATGTACAGATGTCACCGTTGATGTTCTCTGTGATGTAGGCTATACTCTTGTAAAGGTTGTTTCCTTCATCATCATTCTTGGTCACCTGGAGTTTCTTCCCTTCCCTGCTGTATCTGGTCACCTTGAATTCTTTATTTTTAGTCATCCCCACAAGTATATCTCCATTGATGTGGGAGGAGTAAATAGCCCCTGGTTCCCACTCCTCAGTCGAGATAATTCTTGTGGTGTTCATTTCGCAATTCACTTGGCAGATTGCTTTACTTTTGGCAGTTGTGAAGAGAAGGTGCCCCTCTACTGTGACGGAGTGGTAACCTATGACATCTACTACATTAGTGGATATTTTCTTTAACACATTTCCCTCCATATCAAACAGGATGAGGTTCCCCCAGCTGTTACTGGCCCAGAATTTCCCCGACGACAAAAAAGATAAATGATACGCTGGTGTACAAATGTTAATTTTTCTTTTTATTTTCAAATCTAATTTAATTGAATGAACAACTTTAATCTTGCGAAGCGATTTTGTCATTCCTCTGTCTTCTTCTCTCTCTTTACTCATAGTTAGAAGGCTCTGACTAAAATTCATTGCTTCTTCGTGTCGAGAGAAATTCAGATCCTTTACTGGCCAATTAATTTCCCCAAACTGTTGTTCTATTTCTCTTTTATTTTCTGAACCTTTAATGAATGTAGGTAATGTTGGATGATCGGTTATAGATTCTTGCACTATCTCCAGTGCCTGTGAAGACAATCTCTGATGGAATGTTAAGAGACTGGACGGCTTCATTGATGCCGATTCCATCTCGTTTTTAAGTGCTTCGATAGAGGCTTCTGTTGTTAACCTCCCTTTTTCTGTTTCTTTTAAATATGATTCCTTCATTTCACCAAGCTCACCAACCTTATCGGAAAGAACGGCATCCACAACTTCTTTCATCTCTTGAGCTCTTTGCATCATGGCAGATCTCATCAGAGTAAATATTTCCTCATCTTTTTCTGTTCGTTCTGTCTGGGAATTTAATTTTTCTTCACGGATCTTTGTAAGTCGATCTTTGCATTGCTGTAGTTTTTCATTGTAGACAATCTCTAGATCAGACGTCTGGTGATTTCTGTGATTTGAAGTGGAGCATTTGGAACAAATAGGATTCTTGCAAAAGTCGCAGTAGATTTCAAGGTCTCTTGTTGGATGGATTGAACATTTTTCTGCCGGCAAGGGTGTTCTTCTGTTTGTATAAAGAACAACTTCATGGTGGCTGTTTTTTTCTTCTTGGAGGTGGACATCTCTGTGCTGTTCACATATGCTCTGTTGGCAGTCATTGCAGTAGAGGTTGGAGCTCTCTCCACATATGGCACACACTATGTAGTGCTGAGCAGTTCCACTAGATTCTTCTACTCTATTTTCAGCCATCTTGTCCAAGGCAACTACATTTAAAAACAATACGTCAATGTACCACGATATTTAACAGTGTAAATAATTAATATTAAATGATTATATTTAAAACAGCATCTTGCATATGCTTCCCTAATTTTTTGAGCAAGCGACTAAATCTCGTACTCTTTAAAAATATTTTCAAGATGTCTTTTTGATAGTATTCAATGTCATTTTCTTGACATTGTTTTTCCATAATCCGTTTCTCTTCAACGCAAAAATAAAAGAAAAAATGATAAATGGCGAATATTCTTTTTGGTATGCTGAAAAGGCCCATCAAACACGCTCTCTAACTAGTATATATATACAATACAAATAAAGAAAAAGATGTTGTGAAACAAGCAAGCTTTAGTGGGTCGTTGTCCTTTTTTTTATTTTTAAGATATTTATTTGTAATACAAATTTTGTATAAATTGTGTATAATTTATACATTCACTCACTAATGCTTTCATTAAACACTGCGTCATGCTGTACTAGCATTTTATCTTGTCTTCCTTCAGTGTTTGTTATTGACCTAAACACCGCTTTCTCAAATAATGGAAGACTGCCAGTGGCCTTTTTTACTCAAAAATCTTACGACTAAGATAACAATTTGACTACTTTGTATATTTTTTTGTTTAATAAAGATGTTTATTATTTCCCCAGATATTAACTACAATAAAATCTAATGTATAAGAATAATAAGATACTTTGTGACCTAATACAGCTTAGATACTTGTTGTAGAGTACGATTTTATTTTGTCTTAGTCATAAGATTTTTTTTGTGAAAAGGGCCACAGGTATATATTGAATGTGTTACTCAATTATTTCTTGTTACATTGATTTTTATTGGTCATTGTAATTTAATTTTGTTCAGCTTGAATTAGCGGAATTACTTTCAGGATTTCAATATTATGCAAACTTGTTTTAGAGGAAGTGTGTGATAAAAATTGTAATAGTCAAGAATTATTATGATTTCATAGTTAAGAAAGATCCCTAATATTATAAGTAAAAGCTACTCAACGTAATACATTTGATAGCTAAACAATTAAACAACTATGTACGTAACTTCTTTATGAACAAAAAAAAAAAAAAAAAAAAAAAAAAAAAAACTAAATAATTTATTTAATCTAAACTGTCTAGAAAAGAGTGAGTGTGTGAGTTTACTAATATATACATTGATATATATGCAAGAGTTTTGATAGCAAGTTAATATTTTAATTCCCGAAGTAGGGATTTGTCAATTTGTTTTATGTTTCATATTAATTTATTAATTGAATGTAAATCGTATGTCAATGAGATGAACATTTGATAGCTGGGAATTCACCTGGTTTCTTAAACTGGTATGTGAGATATGTGATAAAAAATTCGCTAAACAACTAAAAAAATGATTGTTTTTGTGCTGTGTGTATCCACCCACTAAAAGTAAAATATCATGGACCTTTTTTTAGAGACCTGAAACTTGATCTGACAAACCTTGCTCTTAATGGCAGTTGTCCAAACTTGAAGATAAAAATATGACGCATTTTCAACGAGCAATCAGTTCGTCTTCACTAATTAATAGTTAACTCATCACAAAAAGAGTTTGTCAGTGATTATTAAAAGTGAAGAAGCTATTTTATCAACTTAATGTGGCGGTATGGCATGTCACATGTTGCAATGTTTGTTTTTTTTCATTTTATCATATAATGTCCCAGAAATATTATATAATTTACGATTTATAATGTCTAATTTTTATATTTTGTATTGAATATATTTTGTCTGTATTGTATAATGTTTTACTTGTATTCTATAAATTTGGATTCATAGTGTTTGTTTTCAATTTTATTCTCTATTGTGTTTGATTTGTATTCTCTGGTTTCTATTTTATTCTATAATTTCTATTTGATAACAATATTTATCTGTATTCTTTAAAACAAATCATGGGACATATTTAATTTTTATTATAAAATGCAAATAATTTTTGATGGAATACACACCGAATTCATATATATTTTAAGTAAAACATTTTAGAAGAAAATAACGTATTATGCACAATACAAATTGAACGTATATAATTTAAATGAAATATGTGTAGAATGCAGAAAGAGGTTGTAAACAACAAATAGAAAATGTGAATACAAATGGAAAATATTATGATACAAATTGAATATATAGAATAAAATGAAACATTCTAGAAGATAAATGAGAAGAAATGAATATTGCAACGTTTGACATTCTTGAGTATAAAGAGGAAGGATCGAATATTGCAACGTTTGACATGTTATATAGCGGATGGTTGAACATTGTGAATGCCTTCTTATTATTCAAGATTTAAATATAGCAGATACATTTCATTCATCAATTAAAAGAAATGCATGGAATATAAACTGAGAAAAAATAATTGTAATTATTAGATGCATCAAAAGATTTTCTCAAAAGTAAAGAGAATGGTCTTCGATATTTCATCTTTTACCCTCAAAATAGCTTGGCCATGATCAAGGTTTTAAATTCATCATGCAGCATTTATATGCTTTTCCGTAAAAAAAGAAAGAAAAATATTTAAAACAGCAGTTCTTGTGTATTTGTATAGCGAGCTGAATATAATGCATTTGGATGGAGTAAATAACGTCTTTCAGTTGGTGCAAAATAAACTATGTGTCAAAACTAATGCATGCCTTTGAGCCTGTAATTTATTTAGAATTTATTTCAAAGAAACCCAAAACGATGTAATGTGGTAACATACCTTTCACAGGTTGAACTACAGCTGCTCATGATTGCCGAGGAATTTTCCACATAGTGTCCGCCATTTCAAGTGGCGGACTCTTATTTTTTTGATAGAAGATATGTTTCAAATCACAAGATCACTGTGTGTTATCTGTACGTTATCTTTATCTTCTTCATGGTACTAATCTTGAAAAGTGCCTGATAATCGGATACATAAGATAACTGAAATAGTTTTATACAAGTATTTACCCTGTGTCATTTTGTCTACAATTACCTTAAAAATATTCAGTGATTTTTTTACATCAAAAATAAATGAAGAAATTGCACGTAATGGTGAAGCAAATGGTTAAAACACTTTCTTTTTGTAATTCAATGTACACCTGATTTCACATGAAGTAAATAAATACGAATATGTTTTCTGATTAGCAAGTTGTTTGTATTTTATCAGGCTATTAATAGAAAATGTATTACTAGATTTTATCAAACGCGATTTGATATCTACAATCCACACAAATTGATCGACACCCTTATTAAGCTAAAGGTTCAGGGGGTAAGCAATATCACTAAAACGAGGTAAAGTAAGGAATATCACTAAAACGAGGTATAGTAAACAATATCACTAAAACGAGGTATAGTATGCAATGTCACTAAAAGGAGGTATAGTAAGCAATATCACTAAAACGAGGTATAGTAAGCAACATCACTAAAACGAGGTATAGTAAGCAATGTCACTAAAAGGAGGTATAGTATACACTTACCCACTGGCTGTGAGTGGGATAGCTCTTTTACCAAACCCGCGACAGGAACTATTCCCCGAGGGCTTGACCGAGGGGAATAGTTCCTGTCAAAGGTTTGATGAAAAAGGTATACCACTCACAGCCAGGGATAAGCGTTTTATTATACTGATGTATATCATAATTTATGAGGGTTTGTATTACCTGATACTACAGTTTCTTAGGCAAAACATGAAAAGAATAATTATTTTGAAAAATTATTTGGAAAAAAACAACACTGGTAGAATGAGCTGAAATCCTGATGACGTCATAATGCTACTGAAGTCAGGATGACATCATCAGTCTATAGATCGATTATAGGAAATCAAAATTGGCGGCAATTGCATGAAAATTTTACGCGGGGTGGGTAGCACAAACTATACCCCGGGGTATAGCTTTGCTATACATGAAAATTATCAGATTATAAAAGATAGCTATTTTACCTTCTTAACTTAATATAGGAAACATTTTAACGGAAGTATAATAATAAGAAATATCAATAAAACGAGGAATAGTTAGCAATGTCACTAAATGGAGTATAGTAAGCAATGTCACTAAAACGAGGTATAGTAAGGAATATCACTAAAACGAGGTATAGTAAACAATATCACTAAAACGGGGTAAAGTATTTTCGCAACCAGTTAAACAACCCCCTAGTCCTTCTATTGCTTTTGTTATGTGTGTAGTTGATATGAACGAATGATATCTAAGCGAGCTGAGGGTGGTCTTATTTGTATATACAATCTTTACAAATGTTGTCCCAAAAATACACAATGTCTCTAGCAAAAGTACACTTAGTTGCTGAAGTTTAAGGCCTGCATCACTGAAACTCTGGAGCACTTCACACAAGCTAGACAAGTGCTAGTCAAATGCAATAAAAATCGTACAGCAAAAATAACGATATCCAAGTAACACAAAACAGACTTGTATGTGAGACCTTGCAATAGTTTTTCCTAAGTAATTAAGCTATTGAGTGAAGTACTTAATAACATTGTTAGACGCAAAAAAAAAAAAAAAAAAAAAAAAAAAAAAAAAATCAGACTTCCAAAGCACTTGTTGTTTTATCGTATACTTATTCGAATCCTTGCCAATACCCATTTTGAAAATTCTAGATAAATGTGTTTCCCTGGAATATGAAAATGCACCTGAAATGGTTGAAATATAATAGGGCTAGATATGTATATGCCCTCTTAATCAGTCGCATGCGTAATAATACCTTGATTAAACAATTCACAAAAATGGTCAACTGAGTTCTGGGAACTTTTCTTTTATCACGGGTCAGTCTACAGGGTTTCTGACTTATCGAAACTGCATTAGATCTCCAGGTGTCAACCGAGTAGAATGTTAAACAAGAGAGGTAAAATCTAAAGAGGGGGTTCTTTGGTGACGAAAAATTGCTGAAATTTTTTTAACTTGTCACATTTTACACAAAACAAGTTTTCTTCAATAAATGATTATAATCAAAATATGATTTTAAAAAAATCTTGACAATTTCAACATTGTAATATCCATATATATTCA